GAAGAGATCCGGGATTCGAGCCCTGGTCGGGTTACTCGCCTTTCTTTCCGGTGAGTTGAATAAGCGAGTAGCACTGTACATCAGACTATACGATGTGCGTGTCACAGCTGTAGGTACCCTTAAAATGAGGTATTCGTGACAGATGGTTCTAATGCGAAATGCGCCGCACCAGAAGCTTCACGAAATGAAAGGGAGTCACAGCGGCCGTCCCTTAATTTTGACGGAGCCAGCCTAAAGCCAGAGGTTATCATATTTGCTAACTATATTTATATCATACGTGCTCTATGCAAATAGCACTGCATACTTCTTCCCAGAACCGAAAGACTTTCGCATCGCTTTGTCGGCCTATCCTTAACAAATGCCTTGGCCAGTGCTGTGGCCTGAGGACTTGTTTCTATTTGTCCTAACGGTTTCCCGACGACCATATTCTCATGACGATGATCACTGCAACGTTTTTGCTTATTAACATTTGAAACTGAGCTGCGTTACGTTATGGTCAGTAACAGATGGGAAGTTTCCGCTCGATACACTGTTGTAATGACTTGTCAGGAGAAAAGTTGATTAGCCACGACTTCAGTTATGCAGTTCTATACTTACATACATGTTTTTGGACTTCTCCGCCTTATGCATAGTCGTGCTTGTATTTCAACAGTTGTTTAGGAATTTGAATGTGATAACTTATGGGCTTACTTTTTGACGTTTCTGTTTCAGTTCAAAACTGGAAGCGTTTTTGACGCGAAAAGTTTTGAGTCATTTGGTTGTTTCGTTTTCGCAACAAGACGGCCGTAGCGAAACAAGAAGCCGTTACGTTCAAGACAGCGTCAGGAAGCATGCTGAAGGACTGGCCAAGTTACTGCTGTCGAATGCAAGGACTAAAATATACGTTTGTGGTGATATCCAGCGCATGTCGAAGGACGTCTGTGAAGCTTTTACGGACATACTGGTGTCGGCTGGAGGTTGGTTTTTATTATTCAAATTATTACTTATGATTTTAACCTTTGTTTATTTGCCATTTCACCACGTAGTCTCAGACCCTCTTGCTTCCATTAGCCTAGGGGATCGTTTAAGCACCCTACTGCTTCATGGTATTTTCGCACCAGCAGCAATTCATAGTCGCAAAACAGCATCTCTTTGTTAATTCGAACAAACACGTGTTCAAACGCCAACGGTTATACATCGGTCCTTAGACATATTTAGTAATAATTAGCCCTGCTAGTTTACTATACCGCCATCTGGAATGACAGTTTCCTGTCACTTTTTCATCATTTGGTGGCAGCGGTGTTCTGCGCCCATGCATTGCATGTGCTAGAATACCACAGAGCGGTTGCGTGCTTAAACGGCTCCATGGGGGTTACTGAAAACAAGGGAACATTGCATCTACCGGTGTTTAATTTTTACTTCTCATCTGTAAGCTTTTCTACTATAAATATGTCTCTGCTATCACGACAATGTTATGTTAGTGTCACTGCGATGACGGATATCGTAAGAAGGAGCGGCTTGTATCTGAATTTTTATATGGTTTGTCTGATCAAAAGAGTGACCTCGCCGTATTCAGTTGTGATGCTACGCTACATTCTGTGCACCTTGTGACGTGATCGATACGATATTGTGTCCACCCAGTGTCGTTATGGTTTTTCTCGCGAAATCCACTCGAAGTCAAGCCCTTGCTGTACTGTGTACTTCAGAAAATTACGGATATCGTTGTTGTGACATGATCTCAATAGTCTAGTCTCGAACTTCTTCGTTTTTGGAGGAGAACGTTGAAGCTCAAGTTGTGTACTAGGCAAGGTAATTAGTTTTTCTTATTCGTTCAAGACACTCGTAATAGTACAGTAATATCATATGGTATCTAGTTGTAACCAGTACGATGGATTGGTGCTTTTGGATTCATTGCTGTGACCGACAGGTTTGAGATTTCACAAATCTCAACTTCATGGAGTTTCTGACGCTGCACACTTTTTATACATGAAAGAAAGTTAAAATAATGAAAAACCAACCTAAATACTTTTCAGTGCGATCGATAATGCGTCCGAAGTGCGAAGATTGAATCGAGATGTAGGTCAGTAATAACTGTTTAAAGTTAATGAAAACTCCGATTCTACCGATCTTTCTGCTCTGCCTTGCCTCAGAATCATACTGAATCAGTCAGTATTGTTTTAACTAACGAAAACTATATAGTAGAAGCAGTTGATGGGCGAATAAATCAAACGTGTGAGTTTATGTAAATTAATTTTTATTTGCATTTCATTATATTTTGAATTATTCGAAATTGTTAAACTACACACTAAAATAAATCTCGAATAAAACTTTCGAATTAGGCAGTTACTGTACTACGTTGTTCATGATAGGTGTCTATGACAAAAAAGTAAGGGAAAGAAAAATTTGTAACCATTGAAATGTCGATCTTTATTGCACTTCCTCGATACAACGATTTCTGGTGCTCTTCTTTTCATGAAGTTAGTGGTGCAGTGCTGATCTCTGTTTTCTATGCCATCAGCAATGTACCTATTCTGTTTAAGGCAAAATGGACAGCAGCTATGTTACGAGCAAAGTATGTAGTTTCTTTTTTTTCCC